TAGTGATCCTAGCCCTTTCACCCTGACTGCAGAATAAGCGCGGAGAACCATTAATCTGGACTAGGGGAACTGCTTCCCAGCGCCTTTATGTATGTGCGTTTCTCACTGACTCTGTTGTTAGTTTGGATTCACAGTGAAGGTGAAGGTTTTTAGAAGGTTTTTATTGAGAGTGCCCGCCTCCATAAGCCCGTTAGTGTTCTCAACCTCATAAAAAATGATTTTTGGAATTTGCTCTATTGGTTTAACGATGGAATCTCCTGACCTGTGCTGCGTTTTGAGCTGTGTATATTATTTTTAAAGGGTTCCAAATGACTTTTCTAACACAAAAACAAGGAGAAAACACGTACATAGAATGTATGTATGTNTATATATATAAATATACATATATATGTGTGTGTGTGTGTGTGTATAATGTGCGCTGACTGCCTGTTCTAAAGCTTTATTCCCACATAACGCCAGCAGTAACTTGGAACTGAGGACATAATAATGTAATAGTAATAGTGCTAATAGCATCATTGGCTAAGCCCTCTCTGTATTCGGATTGAATTCGCCCCCTAGAGGAGCGAGCGGGACCCTGGTGGTGGTTGCGGTGCTGTGATGATGGTGGTGGCCTCGTTTCTGGGTGACCTCGGAGTCTCGTGCAGGGTTACTTTTCTGGACCCCCAAAGCCCCAAATTCTCTTCCTCATATGATCTGCTTGGGAAAACGAACAGACAGTGAAGTCAGTGGTGGCTGAAGCTGTAGGCTGTAGATGGTTGTGGAGGTCGGATCATCAGCCTCTGAATATTGGCTAATGTGTGTGTGTGTGTGTGTGTGTGTGTGTGTGTGTGTGTGTTGGGGGTTGACTGGCTGAGAAGAGACAGCTGTAGGGAGATGATCTATAAATCCCATTGGATTTCTCTCAGCACAGGACGGGACCGGAGTTGGAAAGTCTGGAAAATGTTTGCGTAGAGTTGGTGTTGGCTCAATAATCCACGATGAGTTCACATCGGCATATGTTTGGCTGCTGAACTACAGGAGGAGGAGGAGGAGGGAGGAGGAAGAGGAGGAAACAGCTCAGTCAGTCGATCATGGAACTGTGCGTCCTTTTGCGTTAGCTTTGCCACAGCCCTCCCCCAGCCATGTGGGTTACACCATTACGGACTATAGGGCCTTTGCTGTGTGAGCTCCGCGCGCCAGGATGGATGGACGGAGTCATGGGTGGATGGATGGATGGACAGAAGAAGGAGGGAGGGTCGGATTTCGGTCCTGGGAGTGCGTGATAATACTGTGAAGAATGATTGACAGGATGGTCAGGGCAGGGAAACTGCCCCCACCCCACCTCCCCCTCCTCCTCCAACATCTCCTCTACAAACTCAGTGTATGGGTGTGATGGTTAACTTTGCGTCAGATGTGCGCGCTTTTCATGCTGTTTGCACAGCCAAGAAAATAGCTGACATATGTGATCAATTTGAGTGGAAAGCACACTTTACGCATTGTTAAACCAGCTTTCTGTGGATGGACGTTTTACTAAAATTACTACATTTACAGTTTATTTTTACCACTTAAAAATAACGCAGATACATTCTGATGCTACTTTTCGTTTTTGGCAAAAGAAAGGAGAAAAATAGTGTTTTTTCAAAAGAGAAAGAAATAATTGTGGCCTATGTTTATACGTTTTTCGTCTTAAAGAATCTTCTGATTTCCGTGTAAATGATGTTACATTATGGAGCCTACATGTGGCACACTTTTGTACAAAGCGACCTACAGTGAGTGCAGTGAATAAAATGGAATCTTTTTTTTTTTTCTCATGAGCTTTTAATTTTTTTCCTTTCTTTCAAAACACGCACATTTTGCCACAGCTGCACCTTCGAATAATTTCCCCTATTCCACGTGTTAAGTTTTATAGGAATAGAGATGAAAAATTATACAAATGATATTAACTGAGCCAGTTTCACAGAAATTGGACTGTTTATTCCGAAAATAAACGCATTCACAAGCCAGAATGATCAATGCGTCTTAGTATGAATTATGAATATCAGCGCCTGTTTGCAATATTCCTTTGTAAAAGGAGAAAAAAAATCTTGCAGAGAGAGACTGCAAACAGCAGAGCAGAGCAGCGGACCGGTACCCCACCCTCCACTTCCTCCTCCTCCCCGGTACACTCAGTTGATCAAAGCTCCAGTCGGGGGTGATATTTCTCTCTGTATTACCGGAGTCACGGTGTGTCCCCCGGCAGCCTGCCCGGCCTCACTGGCCCGGCTGTAATGTCACACAGCCCAGCTTTAACAGCCTGGCCACCCCGGGAAACTACACGTAGAAGAAGAAATAGCTTTTAGCATCTCTTTTATATATAAATATTAAAATGTTTTGCCCAGCCCATCCAATCACCTGCTCGATTCAGTCTTTATTCCAAAGTCCTCTCCTTCCTTTAGCCATGGCCCTCATACATTGTTGTGGTGACATTGTGTCTCTTAACTGAGCCTGGAGGAGAGACGGGAGACAAATAAACGTGTCATGATTAGAATTAATGATTGCATGCATCTTCACAGCCTCATTCATTATCTCAGATTAATTATCTCGCAGTGTACCAGTTCACTTGTCTGCACTTCATAAACCCCAAATCTCCTGGGCTGCTTTACAACACTATGGCTCTGATACAAGAATATCCCTTTTCTTGCCTGTGGATGCATGGCCTGTACTGTCCACAATTAGATTTTGGAGGAAGTAAAAGAAATGCGTAAAATTTTAAGTGTGAAATAAAATAAAATTCCTCTTAGTGGGCACCAATAAAAGACATTTCAGAGATAGATTTCCACTTCCAACTATTACTGTAACGCTCTGAGTTTCATTTTCTTCACAGGTCTGCCGGAAAACCACGCGCCATCCAGTCTTAATCCATCCATCCTGAGATTCACCACAAAAAGAAAAAAAAAGTTTTGTTTTCCTCAACTTGAGCGCAGACGCTGCGCCACAAATTCCAATTTACAACTTCTGCCTGCATCAGAATAAAAATATGAGTGAGAATATAATCTATTGCTAGTGAGGGATTACAGTGGTAAGGTTAAAACCATTTTTGCATTTAATAGTGTCTTTGCCTGGAGGGGAGTTGAGATATTTTTAAGCTTATAGCCTATATTTTGATTTCCTTCTATTCGTGGATTAATCTGCCTCTGTGAGCTGGCTTTTTTCTTCTCTCTCTGGCTTATTCTAAATAAGGCAGAGATTATCCCCACTGACAGACTATCAAGGCATCTTCTACACATGGAAATAACAACAACTTTGTTGTTTACATGCCGCATTTACAAGTTTGTGTGGTGGTGGAGAGAGTCAGGCCTGCAGACTGCAGGCTTTCTGGGTTTAGTCTTTACAATAGAAAAAAGGGGAAAGTGCGTTTGTAGTCCGACAGAAACGCGACATTTCCACTGCTTATTGCCCCCCTCTATGTAGAACTATGGACCGCCCAGTTGTCATGGTGCTCAATGACCCCTCTCTGCCTATCTCTCTGATGGAAACATAACCAGATGCTCAGCAGAACGCGCTCAGACGCACCGCTTACAAACAGAAAAGTTGGGGAAATGGGAGGAAAAAGAAGAACACTTGAGGAGAGGGAGAGGAGACTGTCGGGCTTAAGAGGTGGTAAAACAAAAACGAGATGGAGTCCATGCGTTTTGAAGCCTTATCTCTCCTTTTCCCCTAAAGCCACTAACACATGTCCTGTTAAAGGGGCGCTCCCCAGACGCCGGGAGGCAGCTGGACGGGGACGGGCGGGCGTTTTGCATGAGAAGCGGCCCATATGCAAGGGGATGCTGGCGGGATATTGGTAGAGATACATGGGTGATCTTGGGTCGTCTTTTCTGCTTAAGTGCGCAGCTATTGGCTCCATTTTAAGACGCGCAAATTAAAATTCTGTTTATTTTTACAGTAAAGACAAATACGATATTTTTTAAGTGTAATTACATTTATTAAACTATTATGTTTACAAGCCACAATCTTGTGTAAACAAACGTTTCAGAGATTAAACAAACTATTTTCCTGGCGAATGCAAATATTGATTAGATAGTAGAACGAAACGAATTTGTTCGACAAGCATGTAAACTTTTTTCTCTCCAGTCTAGACAATGTTCACTGAGAGAAAAAAAAGAGTTCAGCAGTGCAGGCCTGTAAATCATCAACACAAAATACTTGATGGAACTCATTGATGGAAAATGACTAATAATCCAACAGGCTGAGCTCATGGTGTTATTTACTTAAGGTGGACTTGGACTGGATTGCTCCTGACTCGCCGAGCTGCACCAGCATCAACTTTGGAGCCTTTCTGTCTTTCACTACCAAGCTTCCTCTCCATCACACCGAAGAGACAACTGCTTTAAGTGTGCTGTGTGCACAAAAACATATAATGTAAATCAGCACATGCCATTCTGCAATGTTGCACGACACTGGGAAAAGCGAAAAACGACAACATCATATTTCCAGAACCCGGTCATCAGCTAAATCAGATCTTGGCAGAGATGTTCGGCAGCTTTGTGCTGCGTAATCAAACATTTAGCCCTATGGATGATGCGTTCAAGTGCAAAGCAGGCAGTTAAGATTCTCTCCCTATATATAGGCTATATATTAACGGACAGCTGGTTTATTGATTTAAAAAAGCCTCCAGTTATTTTCAAATAACAAAACAAACATGCCCGACTTGTGCGTACTGGCGCAAGGTAACTTTACACGAATAAACGGGGCGCGCGCCATGCAATATGCGCCTCCAGCTTCTTTATCCTGAAGACGCCACTGAGATTATCTACCTGCTCAGATTCCTTCTTCATGCCCCCCTCATGCCCAGAAGACAATTTGCTCAGCAGCTGAAAAGTGGCTTCTCTCCCTCCGCGCTGCTCGCCCTCCGCCGCGGCTGCTTCCTCCAAACACATTCACTAACATATGACAGTTTGCAGGGAAATTCTTGACAATTGGTGTCTTGAGTGTGTGGCATAAATAGCAGGCAGAGCCCTCGCTGGGTTATGATGGGGCGGCTTGATGGTTGCTGGCATGGCGCGACGCTGATTGGTCCGGCCGCGGCCTGACGTCAGGAGGCTGGGAATAAGGCTGGGTTGGAGCTTTAGGAGCAAGACAGTTTACTGGAGACCCAGCGCATCCCAGCATACACACGGTACTGGAGACTGAGGGCATCCCAGCATACACACTGACTACTACCGGAGCCGAAAGCGTATCGCAGCATCCCCCGCCGCCACAAGCTGAACGTCCAGGATCATCGGACTGAGCGAGAGGGGAAAACACTCTTTTGAAAAAAACCTTTTGGGTGTGTGATTTTGTTTCCTGCCGGGTTGTGCACAGTGGATACGCTGCCATGTCAAAGTACACTGAATTATTTATAGGCGTGCGTGTCTTGTTGTGTGACAGCTCTGCCCTAAAAGCGTTTTATTAGACGCCTCTTCCAGCACTGACTGGCACACGACGCTCCTCTCACCGATGCGTCACTTCCAAGAGCGCCGGGACAACCAAACTGGCTCCAGTCTTCTCACCTGAGCCGATCTGCAGCTTCCTGTGTTGAAATCTACATTTCAGTTGAATTGTGTGTTTTGCCCCGGATCCAATAAAGGACTGATTATTTTCTTTACCTTTTGGTTTTTTCACCTGAGAGAGAGGACGAGTCGCCATCCTGTCTGTTTTTCTTTTTGGACGCTGAGCCTTTTTACGCATGCAGGGAGAAAACTGTGGTGACACCTGATCGACTGGCTTCTCCGCGCACATTGACCCGGGAGCTCCAGGCGAATCAAGGAAGGAGAAAGCAGATTCTCGGTCAATGCTCGGCCTGTGCTGATGATTTTGTTTGTGTGTGTGCGCTTCATTTGTGGGGTTGTAGCCCAGCCAAAGCCATGGTCCACTGCGCCGGCTGCGAGAGGCCTATTCTGGACCGCTTTCTGCTCAACGTGCTGGATAGAGCCTGGCACGTCAAGTGCGTGCAGTGCTGCGAGTGCAAATGTAACTTGACAGAGAAATGTTTTTCTCGAGAGGGGAGACTATACTGCAAAAATGATTTCTTTAGGTAAGCACGGGGAAGGTGACAGAAAAAGTCATCAGCAGTGTTTTTGTTTATTAATGTGTGTGAGTTTATGTCAGGAGGTGGACTGTAGCAGCAGGTAAACAGGCACATGTGCATTTAGGAAATTATGTAGCCTACAGACATTTAAATAGGAGCGTAAAATAGGAGCAGAGATTGTGATGGCACATCATAAAATAAAAAGGAAAACACTTGGGCCAAACATTACATTTATTAAAAAGTATGATAACAATAATAATTTGTAGTCTTGTGCACATTAAGAGCAGATCAAATGTTTGTGTCCTCCATATTATTTACAACTTTTTAATGAGGTATACTATTGAAATACCACTGACTGAACAAGTACTTCTTAAAAACTCTGCCTCTCATGCTTCTTCAGACAAATAGCTAAATAGAATAAATTAAATATATACATGTATATATATTTTTAAACTTAACACATCTGCTGACTGAACACACGTGATTGCAAGCATTTGCAGCGAACACAGAGTTTCTGCTGTATTTATTTATTCTCCAAATAAATGGATAAAGCGACCTGTCCGTGCCTGTGGGCGTGAAGGAGGACTCGGAGGCGATAAGCTTTGATTAGGAGCGAGTAATTAAAAGCTTGTTAATTTGGATTCTTATGCAAAACAACAACAAAAGAGGGCCAGAAACATTAAACGTGTGTGCACTCGCTCTCAGCGGGGAGAGAGAGAGGGAGGGGGGTGGTTTGTTAGGAAATCGAGGAAATCACACTTGGGGTGTGTTTTTTTTACAGCGCGCAGGCAGCCGGGGGAGCGCACAGGATCAAACCCCGGCCAGAGGAGCCGCTGCCCCGGTGTGTTTGCTCAGTCCGACTGAGGAGGACGTGATAAGTGGATTTGAATAGTAAACTAGTTGAAAAGATCAAGTCCGCAGACAATGCAATCACAGACGTGCAGTCAACAAGCAGTGCACACCACTCAATACACATTGTTTAACGGTGAAGTCAATGGCAGGGCTATAATTTATTATTCCAAAGCAAGCAGCCTGCCTGCTGTCTTGTAGTATTAACTGATTAACTGAGCCTGTGTACAGATATATACATATATATAAAACACAAAAAAGGTTAGAAATGTGGGGGTAAAATATTTAATAAATTCAATAAAACTACTCACTTCTGCACAGTTGTACAGCGGCCTCTGGTAGAAGAAAACCATGTTATTATTTCTAGAGTAATAAAAAAAAACAAAAAAACATTTAGCTTAAGCACATCATTTTTCTTAAAATTATTTAGAGCGTCATTTTCCCAACTTGTGCTTATGTAGCCTATAGATTTAAGCTGCGCACACAATGAAAACATACATATTAATGTATTATTATTATTATTATTATTATTCGGGTTATTTATTGTCATATGCACAGCAGTTAGGCGATGACACTCTGAGCTCTAAGGCTCAATCCAACAATACTGATTTAAACATGTATAAACAAGGGGAAAAGTTATTATTATCATTATTATTATTATTATTATTATTATATTATATTATTATTATTATTATTATTATTATTATTATTATTATTATTATTATTATATTATTATTATTGTTATTGTTATTGTTATTGTTATTATTATTATTATACCCAAAACGTCAATGTGGATTGAGCATAAAGGTTCATTCCTGAATCTGGAAATAGCATTCCAAAAACCTCCTGAAATGCGCTCTCAAAGTGAAGCAGCTTTCTTTTCTTCATGTTATGCGTATCTTGGGTTTATAGAGACTCCTTTTCACCATTATTATTATTATTATTTTTCATGTAAAATATTCTAAGCATGTTTAAGCATGGGTTATGATTCGACTTTAGCCCATAGCATATGCGCTTTCAAATGGTCAAGTAAGGTTTTAAAAATAAGTGCGATCTGATGTCTAGACTATATTATAATTTTTTTTCCACAATAATGTTACTTCGAGCTGAACTGGGTCAACAGTATTTTAAAATTTGAATGTATATAATGCTAAATACGTTTCTTTCCGTCCCACGAAACTCCGCCTGGTCACCAGAAATGCTGCGCGTTGATATTAATGACTTCATGATGATTTCTGTAAAGCATGTCTATAATAACACAAACAGCCATCTCCTTTCCCTCTCTCCCTCCTGCAGACGGTTCGGCACAAAGTGTGGCGGCTGTTCGCAGGGCATCTCTCCAAACGACCTGGTCCGGAGGGCCCGGAGCAAAGTGTTTCACCTCAACTGCTTCACCTGCATGATGTGCAATAAGCAGCTCTCCACCGGAGAGGAGCTTTACATCATAGACGAGAATAAATTCGTTTGCAAAGACGATTACCTAAACAACGCCAGTGTAAAAGACACCAACCTCCTCTCAGGTACGTGTGTGTGTGTGTGTGTGTGTGTGTGTGTGTGTGTGTGTGTGTGTGTGCGCGCGCGCGAGGCGGGATAAATTGTGATGGATGTGATGTGTTCAGCCCCGCAGTGGCTTCATCATTTCCATGACCAGGACTCAGACGCATTCTGAGAATTCAACAACAAACACACTCCAGTGTCTGCTGATTATTTTGTTTCCAAATATATATTTTCAGTTCCAACCTTTTATGTATGTAAGATTGCGATTTTTATTGGGCGTGCAACGTAAATGTTTATTCCATGATGAAGCAACACAGTCGAGGAGAAAACACAGCAGCTGCTATTTGTTTATAAAATGAAGGTTCCAGTCTTTATATATTTATTTGGATATTAACGGTGCAACACATAAAGATAAAAACATGGTGTCGAATTGCTAATTGCTTTAAACACCGTTTAAAAAGCCAGATGAACCTCACAGAAAATATCGTTTCTTGTTATTAATGTTGGTGTAGTTTGCATCACCGACTTGAGGTCATAGTTCCTCCACCTTTAATTGACCACTACATCACTGCTGACACAGTCCACAGTGATAAATATAGTTTTGTTCCTTTTCCGCTGTGCTTTATCACTGCAGTATTTCCTGTGTTTATTCTCATTTCCATATGTCATTTATTTAGTAACGGCGTGCAGCGACCCCAGTTTATCGCCGGACTCTCAAGACCAGCTACAGGACGACGTGGTCCTAAAGGACACGGAGATTGCCGCCCTGTCCGACAAAGAGACGGTCAATAACGAGAATGACGACCAGAACCTCGGCGGGAAGCGGCGCGGCCCGCGGACCACCATCAAGGCCAAACAGCTGGAGACGCTGAAGGCGGCGTTCGCTGCCACCCCCAAACCCACCAGACACATCAGGGAGCAGCTGGCCCAGGAGACCGGCCTCAACATGAGGGTCATCCAGGTAAAGGAACATCGATATTTAGCGTCCAAGCTGGAGAACTCCCCGAGATCCTGAGTTCCAGAGTGGATTATCCCTCTTATGTCACTACAACTTCATTCATTAACCACCAAATAAAGACGCGTAAAGCGCATAAATGAGGGTGTTCCTCAAGGTCCACGTGGCACCCAACAAAAAATTACAGGGCTCACCATCCCCAGTCATTTATACGGTTCAGTGGTAAATCACCAAAATTGGGGTCTTCTGATTCTGTCTGATGGTCTGAAATATTATGGAAATAACATTCAGGGGACACCCACAGGTTGAGGAGGTGGGCTCGCGCCTTTTCTGTTTTATAGGGTGTTACGCACCCATTAAAAGGTGTGATGTAACAACTTATATTTTATGGAAAAATGTCCCTGCCAAGCTGCCAGACTGCCATGACCGTGCAGGCCTCATCCCATCAGAGAGGCTCCACCTCCCCTTCAGCATCAACTCCCCCTCCACCCTCTCCTCACCTCCCTCGCCCCTCTTTAAAGGAGGCCTCTTCCCTTCAAACTGCGCGGTCACATTGAATTCATTAAGCCAGAGATTGGCCAACGGACGAGGTTGATTTGGAAACGGGTAATTTATATGGGTATTTTTGATTCTTGGCGCTGGCGACGGGGCAAAGTCGCCAACTGGCGCCGGGCTGCTGGGAGCGCTGGGAGCCGCTGGGAGTCCTGGCACAGCGCTGCCATCACGTTTTGCGACCACATTTAGCCATGCTGTGAGTCTTTCCAGCCAAGTGGAAAGACAGAAATCTGTTTCAAGGGTCTTCAGATTGTCTCCTCAGAAATCTGAATTACAGCAGGGCCATATTAAGTTAAACAAAGAGCAACACAGACAAATGACAACACATTCATCATATTATTATCATTATTATTATTATTAGTAGTAGTAGTATTAGTAGTAGTAGTAGTAGTAGTAGTATCGATTTTGCATGAGGAACTATTTTCATTTTTTTTCCCTTTTATTGCTAATGTCCAAAATTTGTTAAAGCCATTATTTTATATGACGCACTAAATCTCTGACATTGTAAATTATACATTTATGAGCCAAAATATTATTACCCATCAGAAGTAATAACAGACCTCCTCCAAGAAAAAAAAAAGTGGAAATAATTGGAAAACAGGTCTTTTGGTTTACTAACAGGTTTCTGTCATAATGTGGATGAGGCTGCGGGGCAGATCAGGTAAAAAGCTTAAACATAGCAGATTAATGGCGATAAAGTGAAAGTGGTGAAGTAGGGGTATCTAATATGTATGAGCACGAGGGAGAAAGGGAAGCGCGTAATTAAAGGAAGCCGGCCTATAGATTAGGAAATGATAACCTCCAAGAGCCCGGTAATATATTGGTAACAACCCTCCTATTAAGTATTAATTGGAGATTTTAAGCCCCCGCTGCTGCAGCCTTCAGTCGGAGTAAATGGAGGGTTAAAAGATCATTAGGGAGGTTAGATGTGACTCTCGCTCCTGTAACGATAATTGGGCGCAGTTCTCTCCACCGCAGAGCCTTGCGGATTTAACGCACCGGCTCATCACGCACGCAGCTAAACACACAGACAGCCTGGTTATTTACTCTAATAAGAAACCAATACGGTGCAGGTGCCAAGGTAAATATGACACCTAATTACACTTTCTTTTGTATGAGGAAGAATTTACACAGTGAGGTTTATTTGCTTGTTGGCTTGTTTACATGTTTATTCAGACATTTCTGCCCTCTAAAATTCAGCCGTCTGCCTTCTTCCATCACCTCCATTTCTCACTCCCCTCCCATGTTCCGCACACAATATTGACGCGCAATCAAAATGGCGTCAGAAGCCTATTGCGTGTTTGCTGAGTGACACGAGGTGACCCATATGTGTGTGTTTCTGTGTCTGTGCCCAGGTCTGGTTCCAAAACCGACGTTCCAAAGAGAGGCGCATGAAGCAGCTGAGCGCGCTAGGCGCCCGGAGGCATGCGTTTTTCCGGAGCCCGAGGCGGATGAGGACGCTGGTGGACCGCCTGGAACCCGGAGAGCTGATCCCCAACGGGCCCTTCTCCTACTACGGAGGTATGAGTGCAATTGCATTTTTTTTTTTTTTTAAGAAAAAAAAATTATGTCCTCCAAAGTGATTTTTTTTCTCTCTTTTGAAGCATTTTCATAGTCATGTTAAAATGTCTGTTTCAGTCACATTTTAAAAAAAATTATTTGTGTGTTTCCTTATTTTTTCTGTCTGTTTATTTCCTATGTCACAACTGGAATGAAACAATGGCCTGTCTTTTCTATACCAAAGTGAGCAGCTGTTGAATAAGAAATAAAGCACTTTAATTTAGGTTTTGGATGACCTTATAAAGAAAGAAAAGCATGTATGGCCTATACACCTTAAGCTTTCTGAAGTCTTTTAAAAATGTTAATTTTAATTTAGTGCACCACATTAAAATAATGTTTCATATCTAAACACATAAATGCAATGCAGTGGTTCTCTGCTCTTCTTCAATAATAAGGCCAGTTAAGATATTCAGCAATAAGGCTCTTATTTTCTTAAAGCAAATTCAGTTGTGATATGTTATTCAGTTTGGGTAGCCCCATCCATGAGCTTTTAGAAATCAGTGAAATAAGTTTACTTGAGGTTAGTTTACATCCCAGTGATTTAATACCACACTCTTCCCTCAAATGCTTTGAAATATCTGATCATTTTCAGAGAATTTCATTTGTGCTCGGGCCTTTGTCCTTTCTGCTGAAGCAAAAAGTCTAATGCTATTCTGCTGAATTGAAAAAAAAAGATCGGTCTCAGTAGGTAGAATCGCTGATGAAATGGCCCCCAGTTTAATTAATTTTGTGGCCACGTTGTTCTCCCCACCCAATTGCAATTTTGATTTAAGTGTAACGTGCTCTGTGACTAATGTAGTACGGCGAGGGTCTCTCGCCCTCTCTAATACAAATCAAGCTATGTATATTCAATGAATTCCTCAATGTCTCCGGAATTATTTCTATACACATTGTTCTCAGAGCTAACGTTGATTTTTTTTTCTCTTTTGGATCTGCAGATTATCAAAGCGAGTACTACGGCCCAGGAGGGAACTATGATTTCTTCCCTCAGGGGCCTCCATCGTCACAGGCCCAGACCCCAGTCGATCTCCCCTTCGTACCCTCCTCAGGCCCCACGGGCACCCCCCTCGGAGGTATGGATCACCCCCTGCCGGGCCACCACCCCTCCAGCGAAGTGCAACGCTTCTCCGATATCATGTCCCACCACCCGGGGGACTCTCCCAGCCCAGAGCCCGGCATCCCGGGACCCCTCCACAGCATCTCTTCCGAGGTGTTCGGCCCTAGTCCGCCTTTTACCTCACTGTCACTGAACGGCAGCGGATACAACAACCACCTGTCCCACCCGCCCTCGGAAATGAACGAGGGCACTGTGTGGTAGCTTTTTGAGAGTGGACTCTACTGGTGAGAGATTCGGTAACGGAGGGTGGTGAGGTTTGGTGGTGTTTGGGGCTGGGGATGAGTACAGGGAAATGGATATCGACAGGGTTAGGGCAACCATTGAATCATTATTTTTTTTTTGGTGTTTTCATATTTATTTATTTATTTTCCCATTTGATCTGTTGACCTTTTTTGTGGGGAAAGCATATCTGGCATAAAACATTGTCTTCAGTATTGTGTTTGGGTGTTTCTATTGCTACGTTTGCCCCCCCACACCCCACCCTGCATCCAAAACTGGACTCACGTAAAAAAAAAAAAAAGAATGGGTAAGACTGCTGAACTGCCACCCATTCGGCCCCCTTTTTTGGGCCCCTGGGACACCCTGTCACCCTCAAACCCCCCAACCCGACAGTGGCCCAGCATAGCGACCAAACCTCCTAACACTCACCGGTGGGGTAAAAAACAACCCTTTCGAAATCTCCTATAGTATGTCCCGAACACGAAAACATCATTAGCTACTGTCAAAGACTTCAATAGCTTTACAGAGAGAGAATAAAGGGGCAGAGGGTTGATCGTGTGCTGACCTGGCACTGTAGGAAGGCTGAGCAGCGTTCAGACTATGTTCGAGGCACTAGACTTGTCCCTTGTATTTATTCAGAAGCTCCTCAGACCTCTTGGCCTCTCAAGGCTCTGCCATATTGACACTTAACCTTTTTGACACTATGTTTCTGAAGGCCAGAGGAAATGACAATTTTTCCTCTGTCAGGACTATTTGTTTCTTTTCTTTTCTTTTCTTTTCACGGTTTCAGAATTTCCACCAAATCTGAAGAAGGCCGCCTTCAAAAGGCAAACAGTAAAAACCCTCTACGGATTGCAAACCCTTTATTTAAAATGGAAGTGAACTTGAAATGTTGAAATGAAGTCTACCTTCTAAAAATCTTCTACCGGGGTTCTAAATGGGACTTAGAACAGTCAACTGTTTACGTAATCTATTTAATTCAGGAGTCCAGAAGTCTCGAAAACGATGTTTTAGAACCTCTCGATCCATATAAAAATGTTCCAAGCAACCAACCAAACTTTTGTATTGATTTCATTTATATTGTATGGAGATAAAAACACATTTGCTGGGGTTGTGGTTCACTGTGCTAGTTTGTACAAGATGTTGTTTACAAAAAAGGTAAAAAAATAAAATAAAAAAACAATAAAAACATAAGTAGACATTTGCCAAATTAAAAAAAATAGCACAAATACTGTTAAAGTGCTTTGCACCATCATCTGCAGAACATGTTGAGACAAAATGTAAGTGTTAAAAGGAGTAATTGACTTCTTAATTTTTTAGTCTGCTGACAATACATTCATAAAATTGTTAATATAACATACTTAGACAGGTTTTATTTTTGTGTCTTCGAAGGAGAAAATCCCAACTATTAAAAATTGATGGTCAAATATGCAGCTAGTAGCTGCTACATCTCTTTGAATATCAATCCCTCATGGTATGTCTTTTATTGTTCCAATAAACCTAAGCTTATGTGACCTCCAGTGCATATTAGACCATTCACTGTATAAATACAACATGTTGACAAAAATGTGTTTCTAATAAAACTAGAAAATATACTTATGAATTTTTTAACATATTTTCTTTGGAGCAGCTATCTTACAGTATACCCTTACATTACAGTGTGTTATGTATCACAGGGTGTCAGTGCAGCTGTACATCACAGAGCTCTCTGTAAGCTACTTATCAGGCCAGTGTCACTCGTTTCATAATGAACGCTTTTTGTCTACATGTCTAATTTTCCATTCACTTGGAGTGTGAAATAATTGGCCTTTGCAGACATGCTGACAGGTAAACAATTCTGATCAGTGTTATTCAAAAACATGGAGTGAAATTGAAGGCAGTTTGTGGAAAGTGATGAAAAGACAAAGAAAAAAGGAGTCCAACTGAGAGTGTAGAAGCAGAGTTGTAGAAATGCTACCGAATCGTGCTTTGAAGCATGCGTTTTGCGATGCTAATCTTAAACTGTCAACAAAGGGTTTTCTCTTTCCCCTCCATGCCGCAGCATTGCACCAGATCCCGATGGCTTGAAGAACAATTCATAGACAAACAGAACAAGGGTTTGAACAACAACAAAAAAAACTTTTCTGCTGATTTTACTTTTCTCCCAGCAGCGGAGGCATTTAGTAGACTGGCTTGCTGTAGCCGACACAAGGGGGAGTGAATTCACAACTTGTGCTGATGCCACTTCTTTCCCAAACCACTTTCACTCTGGCCTCAGATTCTTGTGTTCAGTTACTCGAGGTCGTCAACTAATCATAAGCAGTTAGCTGTGCAACTGTGAAGGACAATGATGAAATCACCGTGACCGCAGCTCTCCTGCTTGTTATGCTTTTATTAGCCTGCTCCTACATTATTATTCCCTGCAGCTTACTGTTCTCGCGGTGCGGTCTGACGGTTGGGAGGGACTTTTCCTAACTTATTTCGGTGAACATAGCCGTAATAATAATCAAACCCAAACACTGAGGCGTGATCTTTTGCAGGAAGGATGAAAAAATTATTCATACTTGTAGGGAAACGAGTCAGGCGGTGGGATTGTGGCATGAATCTGAGGGAACCTTTATCTCCCAAACCCTGCATGTGCAGTTAGGACCATATGCAATCCTAGTTTTCTCCCCTGCCTCCAGACTGTAATCCACCATGAATTAATCATGGTCTTGAGAGTTAACCAAGCTTGGGGATGTGGGGTGGAAGGTGGGGGTGGAGGGTCTGTATAAGGATATAGGTCTCTGTTGAGCCCCTGGGCTTAGCCCCCCCTGTGGTAACACCATGCACTGGCGACTGACCGCCCCCGGGGCCACGGCTCTTTAAATTCAAATCTCCTATTGATCGCTCATCAGCTGTTGGTGCAAACTGACCTTGTAGTCTAACGCTGGAAAAATAAAGCAAGCCTTAACAGCACTGAATGGGTTTTAAATGACATTTTAAATCTCTGAGTCAGGACGTTTGAATAGCCCACACACCCACTGGGATCCAAAATAAGTGTACTGATATGTGCATGTGTGTGTGATGAGAGGGGGTGACGGGGGGATAAATGCTTGGTGGGGGTGAGTACAAAATGGTTTACTTTAGGGTACAACAGGGGCCAAAGTGTTGAGCCAATAGGAAGATCATGCCCAGCAGGCGAACACTGAGATACTTGCGTTCAAACTGAGAAGGCTTTTTTCAGAGCGCCTCTCCATATGAGGAGCATTTGGCTGCTAGTTTTAAATGCAGAGTGGCTCAGCTGGAAGCGTACCCACTCCTCGGAACGCACGTAACGTAAGCACACAAACACATGGCACCGCTCCTCGTTTCTCCTCAAACAAATGACACATGTTGGGGGAAGCCAATCTCTTGGCCAGAAATGAGAAAACGCTGTTAATCAATGGAGCAGGTTGGTTGATCGCTGAGCCACATTTCCCTGGCTCAATACTCAGCGAGTGGGTGATACACAGTCATGTAGCAGCCTGATAAGCAGGCCTCTGCTGATGAGCTGTTTGTTTTGCCACCTCTCTATTCTTTACACTTCCTCTTCCTCTACGAGTAAAGACAGAAGGAGATGTTTAAGTCATATGAACATTCTCTTTACTATTTAAGTAATATTTCAGGACATATTTTGACGCATAATGCCCAATTCTTTTATTTGCATGAGGTGTGACTCAATTCATAACCAGACAAAGAAAACTTCTTTCCCTTCTCTTAACATCCACACCATAGTAGCTCTTAACAAAAAAAAAAAAAAAAAAAAAAATCATTTCTTTTAACAAACAGAAGAAGAAAAGTAAATATGATCAGCTCTGGCCACCATCAATGAATGGGCAAAGAAGTGTACCACCGAGAAAAAGTCAAACATAAACAGAAAATCCAGGGAAAATACAAAAAACGGATAGACAGAAAGAAAAATAGAAATAAAAAAGCTGGAATAACATTCTGATGCAGATAAAGTGTCTGTGATAAAACTGATCTAGTTTGGAAATAATTCCTTTTTAAGTGTTTTTTGTAACAAGGCTGTTTCCAGGACTTAAGAAATACTAAGGTGCTGATACCAAGTTTCTTCCTATATTAACAATTATCAGATTTGATTATTCAGCTGTTTATATGAAACAATATATAAATGAATGATAAATAAATAAATAAATAAATATATGCCACTTTCTCCATAAACTGGTCTGATATACTGCTGTAATAGGAATAACATATTCAGTACAAAAATGCTGGAATCAGCTTATAAAATGCCCACCATGTGTACGTTTTTCACTGTAGAATGTCAGCTCAAATAAACTCCTCCAAATTCCTGAGAAAAATTACCCAGGACAGGATTTCATTGTCCTCAGTGGTACGGCTTCGATACTTTAAACAAGCTTACAGCTAATAAGAAGTGTGTATTCTGCCAAAAAACAGTAAAATATAGAGGACTCAACCTAAAGCAGTCTGAGCAGTGAAGAAAGGTTTCGAACAGGATACAGAATCTGGAGTTGCTCCATTAAGTTAAAACAAAACAGGATGTGTGTGTTTGGGTTGGAAAGTACCCAAGGTGATTTTCTCACACATTTTCTGGTTCTGTTCATTTAGCTTTATGAGGTTAAGTAAAATTATAGGGAGAAATTACAACCAAACAAAGCTCATGTCCAACTACATTCCAATACACCTGCCAGTTTATTAGGTACACACGGCTAAAAGTAAAGCCTGCAATCCATCTTATGTTTATGAAGGTTATAATGACTTTAGTTGTTCTTTTATCTCAGACATGTGTTAGGATGTTACATACCTTGACACGTTTCGGCGGAAACCTCCACCTTCCCCAGAAGTGTCACTTGTCAAAACTGACAGGAAGGTCACGCCTCCCTAATATCAGCTGGTTGACAGATCAGCTGATAAAGACATGTCACAACCACCAAGTGACACTTCTGAGGAAGGCGGAAGTTTCCGCAAAAACATGTAAAGGTATGTAACATCCTAACACATGTCTGAGATAAAAGAACAACTAAAGTCATTATCAGAAACTGAAGACATAATGGACACCATTGAACTATGAAGGTTAGGCTTTACTTTCAGGTTGTTTTTTTGTTTGTTTTAACAATTTTAGATATGTGTTGATTCAACCCTCTTCTTATTTTTGAGGCTGTAGTTTGTGGTGCTACTGAATTGTTTTGCATTATACTGACAGGTGTTTCTATTATCAGGTCCACAATATTTATATGAGTGAGTTTAGGCCATAGAAGTAGAACAATTAGACAGGACATTGAACTGTTTGCTGTGGTCATTTGACAAGTACAAAACAAAATGGCAATTGTTGTTCTAGTGACAACACATTTCTTCTCTATTAAACAGAAAAATTATGACCGTACACCAATCCAAGTTTTTCTCTTTCACCAGACCCACACTAATGTTAGCTTAACTGCGTAGCTAACTCATTGTAAAACACACTTCATTTAAACACGACAGCAACAAAATAAAACTCACCAAAACTGTCTTGGTTTGTCTTGTTAGTCATCTAGTTAGTTAGTCCACTGTTCCAACAATCACCAGCTCTAGTTTGGTCAAAATTAACCCTTACTTCACCGTATTCAGTGTGAAAATATGCTGCTCTGCAAGTTGTTTATCCTTAAGGGGTCTCTCTGTGTATCAGCTGTTGACTTATCAGTGGTGCCCACTCCTTCTTCAGAGGCAGTTTCAGTTTACATGTTCCAGCAAATATGCAATTAATGGCAATGAAGAAACAGTAAAATAGCAATTACTGTAATATTTGAAAGTGACGGATTGCTTATTTGAAAATGTACGACTCCACTGCTCCTTTGGTTGTTGCTGCAAAACCTCACCTCAGTGAGTTTATGACTTGCTGCTAGCAGATTTATTTACATTAAAGGTAATACAAAAGTTAGCCCACTACAATGGTTGCAATAGCAAGGGTACACATAAATAACATAAATAACAATAAATAACATAATAATAATTTGTAATAGGAAAGTCCATACTACCCTCATTCTATTTCTGTGGTTTAGGTTGAGTAACAGAAACACCAGCCCGTTCAAGCCAAAGTCCTCACATACTGCTGCTTTGTCAGTGATTCCAGCATCAGGTTTTATAGGTTAATATAATATAAGAAAGCTGGAAAGTCCCTGTAGGGTTGGTGGGAGCGGTGGAGAGTGGGTCCAACAAACCCCAAACTTTCACCTGGGAGCCTGGTGCTGGATGACATCATCTCCAACAGACACAAGACCCTACAATGTACAGCATCTACTCATCATCTTGGATTTACTGTGATGTACATTTGGCTCTCATCAAAACTCACATCAGCTTAAATGGTGGCTAGCAAGTACCTACTAATCATTGAACTTTGACCCCATAGTCATGGCCAGAGCATCATCCAACTCTTAATCCTGATCTTGACCTGGTGCTTTTTTAGGTTTAACCCTTACCCAGAGCCGTGACAGTCACAATCCTGAGTCCACATTGCCCCATGTGGGCTCAGTAGGTCAGATTGAAAGCCCTGCGCAGAGTGCCCTAGTGTAGTGTAATGATATAACAGTTTCACTGCTGGAATATTTACATCAGAACATAAAATGCTTTAGCTACG